ATAAGTCACTTTTTGCAGTGCCGTTGCAACTTTGAATAGTCACTAAATGAACTGTTGTAAGTCGGGAAATTCCTATACAAGTCAGGATAACCCTGCTTAACATCTGTAAACAGCCAAAGTCAGCTAAAAATTGCTTGGTAGTAGCTTAAAATGAATATGGCGCTTTAATTCAATCACTTTTCTCCAACAAAGTGTAGAACTGGCAAATGAGTCCAAAGAGCCTGCGGACTACATGATTCAATTCTCTATATTGGTTTTAGCGTGACAAGCAGCAAGGCCAAAAGGCTGTAATAGGTAACTCTAATGCAGGGGTCCCCAACCTTGGCAACTTTTAAGACCTGTGGACTTCAACTCCCAGAATTCCCCAGCCAGCATGGCTGGCTGGGGAATTCTGGGAGTTAAAGTCCACAAGTCTTAAAGTTGCCAAGGTTGGGGACCCCTGCTCTAAAGTACACAGTATGCATGGCAATACAAACTTCTCATGTAGATTAGGAATAAAGAGTAAAGCCTTTGATATGTCTCCATATTTAAGAATTTAGGCCATATTCAAAATTATAGGGTTTCTCAGCAAAATGATTTGAAATCATATTTGAAGTAAAATACTAATCATCTCAGCATATAACCATACAATGGTTGTTCAGGGTATATGTGTAAGCGTGTGTTCATTTATTTAAACCCCAATCCAATCTCCAACGGCTCTCAGAGGTTCAAAGGTGCACAATAAAAGTACACAAGCCAAGTAAGGATACAACATAAAATACAAAACTTTGTAAAACAGTGAAAAAAAAAGCCACTAATCCATAAACTTTACCAAGCTGACCTCACAGCCCAGATGTCATCCAAAAGAGCTCCATTGTGATTTACTTCCAGAGTGCAAAGTAGAAGCCATCCCACATCTACAGGGGGACATTCCAGATCAACATTATCTCTGAGTAGTAGAGCCTCTGAAATCCATTCTTATTTTTCTTCCTAAATCAAATCGGCCAGGCCAGTGGTGGGATTCAGCTAGTTCGCACCGGTTCGGGAGAACCGGTACCTAAATTTACCTGAATTTGGAGAACCAGCTAGCTTCTGGAAGTCCAGTCTAGGCCTCGGAGGCCTGGAGGAGACATCAGAGGCCTGGAGGAAGCCTCCCAGGCCTAGAATGACCCATCAGAAGTGTGTGGATGCCACTTCCAGAAGTCCATTCTAGGCATCGGAGGTCTGGAGGAGCCCTCCCAGGCCTAGAAAGGCCCATCGGAAGTGTGTGATGCCACTTCCGGAAGTCCATTCTAGGCATCGGAGGCCCAGGCCTGTATTAAATAAGAGAACCGGTTGTTCAGGTATTTGAATCCCACCACTGGGCCAGGCCACTTCCCATGGAAGAATGCAATCCTGTAGGCAGCTTGGAACCAAGCCATAAAATTATTTTATGGATTAGCCACAGCATTTTAAGTTGCATTTGGAAGCCTAACACTGTTGAAGGGTGGGTCATAAGTTGTTTTTCTATCACTGCCCATATAAATGCCAGGATTTGCTCCAAAATCTTCCATGTACTTTGGAACTGAAATCAATTCAAATTACTGTATACTGCAATCATTTCAGTGAAATTATACATATGGTAATTATTTTTACATCAGAAATGCAGTCTTTCATTCAAATGTAATTCAATTTGAATTCTTACAATTTAGTTTCTTCATTTTCTATTACTTTCTCTATTTTATTCTCCCACCAGTTCTTGCTTGCAGGCAAATGGTATTTCTTGCAATCTTCCAATGCACCATTGTTGCTACTTTGTCATGCCGTTGTTTGTAGTCAGCGATTTTCTTGCAGCAGCTGACAAAGTGGTCCATGATTTTTCAGCTTCTTTGCAGAGGCAGCATTTGCTGTCTGTGGCTGCCTTCTCAGTTCTGATTTTATATCCATTTGTTCTTAAGGCTTGGTCTTGTGCAGCCAGATTTAGCTCCTCTATTTCTTTTTTCAATTTTCCATCTTTTAGCCGTCGACAAGTCTTGTTATAAATGCTTTGCCTATTTTTCTAATATTCTGGGCTGGCCATGTCATGTTTTGCCTTGCCATATCTATTTTCTACTTTGCATTTGGTATTCTTGAAAGCCAGTTTGATTTCTCCAATACTCAGTAAGTCTTCCTGGTATACTAACTTCAGTGCATCTTCTTTAGTATCCTTCACATATTTTTCCAATGTCTTTTTTTCTTCTTTAACTGTCTGGTGTATTTGCAACATTCTACACCCATATTTTCCTTGGTAAGAAGCCATGATTCATTGTCATTATTTTTCAGATCTTCCTATCCAGGGCTTTTAGTTCTGCTCAAGTCCAGTAGTCCACTATTCCAGCTGGGTATCTAATGACTGGAATTGCCCAAATATTAATTGCCTTGATAGTATTTCCTCCACTGAGTTTGGACTTTAGGATCTTGTTTAGTCAAATGATGTATTCGCTTCTAACCTTCTTTTTAACTTCAGTGTTTATTATTATTATCAATTAATTTTTGAATTTTGCATGCTTAATTCATATGATAGAAAATATTTCTGTCAATTTATGTTTTTAGTTTACAAAAGGTATCCAAATGATTTCTGAATGCCAGAGTAGAACATGATCAAATAGCACGGTTTTAGAAATAAATGCTGAGGTGATTTAAAAACAAAAAACAAAAAACAAAAAGACAAACATATACCTGTATCCAGCTTCTAACCTTAATAGATTACTCAGTCTTCCTTTCAAATAACGTAATGTACAAATCATTAGCAACTGTAACATATTTACCTGACTGCTACTGCTGGTTTTCAAAGAGCAGTTTATATTTCCATTTGTCTCATCATTACATCATCCTGTGGTTTTCTTTAAAGGCTAACAGTGTAGAATGACTACATGGCTGAAACCTGTCTTTAACCAAACCCAAATAATTTCACAATAAAAGAATAAGGAAAAAGTCCAAGGCTTTTACAGAAGAAGCCATTATATAATCCAAATAATATATTCTAGGAGAGTTAAGAAATTATCAGGGGAAGGAATACATAACCTGTAAATGATCAGGTATCAGTTATTTATCCTTGCACTATGACTCACAACAAATTGCTATCTTCATCTACGGCAGATACAAATTCCACTGATTCCTAGCCAATATAGTTTGTTTGTTTTATGTTTGTTTGTTTTATTAAATTTATACCCCGCCCTTCTCCCGGAGGACTCAGGGCGGCTTACAGCCAACTTAAAAACAATAATACAATATAATACAAAATTTAAAAGTAATTAAAAATAGATATTCAATAGGCCGCTTATACTAAAAAAAATTTAAAAGCCAATTTAAAATACCCCTAGGCCAGTCCTGCCCGCTGAAATAACCAAGNGGCGAAAGGAGGGGAGATCCGGAATCACCCGGATCTCTGGGGGCAGCTCGTTCCAGAGGGTGGGTGCTCCCACAGAGAAGGCTCTCCCCCTGGGGGTCGCCAGCCGACACTGTCTGGTTGACGGCACCCTGAGGAGGGCCTCTCTGTGGGAGCGTATCGGCCGGTGGGAGGCAATCTGTGGCAGAAGGCGGTCTCGGAGTTCTATATCCACAAATGAGAACATTACATTTTGTGGTTCAAATTCATTATATGTGTGTATGTGTTTGTGTGTATAGACAGATAGATACAGAGATAGAGATATATAGATATAGATGAGAGTGAAGGTTCATTCTCCAAGCTTGTGGGTTGGTTTCTAAATGTTTCATTACCAGGCTAGGTAACATCTTCAGCAGAGTTTAGGGGATGTCAATGTTCTTATGTTTATAAAGGTTTCAGGTGTCAGTGTGTCAAGTGAGGGTCTGTGATGGGTCTTGTGATGGGGAGGTTACATCAGGTCAGGGTGATTGGGAGGTGAACTGCTGATGGGAGGAGTCCTGCGTAGTTAATTGTGGGTCGGTGCTGTCTCTGGTTGGCTGTGCGGTTGATTTGGATTCTGAGGGATTTGTAGACTGGTTATAGGTCAATGTGTCTGTTGATGGAATTGTTTGTGGAGTGCCAGGCTTCAATGAACTCATGAAGCAAACAGCACAAGTTCGACTGGAGCAATATAAAAATTATAGGCCACACTACCATCCGCCATGCTCATGAGTTCATCTAACCAACCCAGGCAAGCCCTCCCTCCTACCAGTTCACCTCTCAATGACCCTGACCTGATGTAACCTCCCCCATCACAAGACCCATCACAGACCCTCATTTGACATACTCACACCTGAAGCCCTTATAAACAGAAGAACACTGACATCCCCTAACTCTGCTGAAGATGTTACCTAGCCTGGTAACAAAACATTTGGAAACCAACCCACAAGTTCTGAGAACAAACCTTCACCCTCATTCTACACCCGAGCTACAGATATTCACCATTATTATATTCAGATACAGATACAGATACAGATATACACATACGCACACATACACAAACCTCATTGGATTCTGGAATGCTCTTCCAAGTGAGGATATAGGGATTTATAAATGGAAATAATTAAATACTTTATTCAATAAGAAATATCCTTCTAAGAACACATTGCTTTACAATTAAAATTTATTACAGTTCATAAAGATGCAGCAAAATAAGTCTACCTTTAAAGGTATAATTCCAATGTCAGAGTAGCAAGAGGCAAACAAGTTTAGAAAACAGAACTTATACTAATAAACTAACTACATTCCTTAAAATGGAAAACATGGTAAAATCCAACCAAAAACAAGAAATTGAAGTTCTTATGCCAGAGGTAGCAGAAGCTTCCTTTCATATTAAATATTGACTATCCAGATGATATGATGCTCAAGAATGACTCACACTAAACATGAATGCCAGACCTACACTGAAAAGATACACCTCAATGACCATCATCAGATACAATTTGTTATACACTATTTGACTATTTAAATGCAATTAAATCCAATTTTTAAAAAGGAAGGTAAAAACTAATATAAGCTAATATCAGTAAGAAAAAGAAAATAAAAATAAAAGATGTGCAAGAAAATGAAACAAAATTAGAAAAGAAAGAAAAGAGATACAAAGAAATTCTTCCAATTTTCTTTATAGCAGTTATAAACACAACTATAAATTTACATAACTCTCTTCTTTCTATAATCTATCCTATAATCTATAATCATAAAAATGTTCATTTTTTTCTGTTTCACACAAAATGTCTACAAGGGGATTTCTAATCATCAATAAATTTAGGTAATTGTCTTTTCTCTGATCAAAGAAGTCAATTTAGCCATGTTTGCAAATTCCATCATCTTTCACCAAACATTCCTCCATTGTCGGTAAATGCCAAATCTTTCCATCTTTGTGCATATGATAACCTCACTGCCAAAATTTTTAGCCTATCTCATTATACTTTTTTTTAAATATATATATTTTTCTGTTTCAAATTTGAATAAAATTGTTATTTATTTAGCAATTATGTGTTCATCATTTGTACACAAATGAGGAAATATATATACCCTTTCCCTTTAAGTTTAAATCTCTTTAAAAAAAAAAAAAAAAAAAAAAAGCATTACCTGAATTTTTCATACTAGAGCTGTTCAGTTTGGAATCTTTGATGACCAAGTGTTTAATCCAAAGTGTAGGGGCTGTAATTTCTGAAACACAAGGATAGGCTTATAATTTGTTAAAAAAATAGATCATTATTTATATTAAAAGTACCATGAGACCCAGGAGATGATCATAATAAAAAACAATGCACATTAAAAGCATATTAAAAAAAATACCAATATAACTAGGTAGGTATATAGATAGGTAGGTAAGTAAGATAATCAGAGAGTAAAAAACTTTTTATTTTCAAATGCTTTGTGTGCAAAATTTCCCAAAATGTCCCATTTTCAAATGCAAACCTGCTGTTTCAAGTTTGAAGTGGGCAACCTTGAGAATGTCTGAAGAATTAGGAAATAACTTGAGACAGGCATTTTGTATTCAAAATACAGACTTTGTAGGAGTTTTTGCAAAATTTAAAATAAAGAATATCATATAACCTGAATTTCTTTCCTAATGTCAAAACTCCCATATTAATTTTCTTTTGCCATCATATCACAAAATTATCTCACCATGATTCCGACCGATCCACAAAGAAATAATGTGCATAAAAAGCAATTATCTAAAAACACAATTTGCCTTAAAGTAGTATTTTGAATAATACATTGTAGCCATGCCTGACATTTTCTTTACAGAACATTACATTTTAGAGATTGCATAAATTAAAAAAGCTACTTCAGAGGTTCTTACCTTCTCCATCCAAAACTGGCTGTGTTTCCATGGTGGGTGTTGGTTTTGAACCATCATCTGAATTGAGAGTTAAAAAAAATTGAAAAGAAACTACCATTATTGAGGTAAATACTATCTACTCTCCAGTACTGTTGAATAATTTGGGATTTTTACATGGCCCGGCCAAGTCCATCAGAAGAAAATCAGACATACACAGAGACAGAAAAAAGGACAAATCAGAACATAAAGGCAAAAAAAGAACTTTATGGAACTGGCTAAAAGGTTAGCAAAATACTGAAATACTTCTTTAATTCTGTTTTTTAAAGTAGATAATATTCCCACTTATACTTTTATCATCAACAATTCTGTATTGTTGAAGTATGAAAATCATTCGGGTGCACTAAGTTTATTTCACATAAGTTAGCCCTTCCTATAGACCTCTTCTTAATAAAGATGTTACAAGATTTTGTGGGTATAGTGACCTCAAAATATATCATCTCTAAAAGTTTCTGGGAATGAAGGGACAGAGTCCATTCACAAACTCACATAAACTCTTTGCACCAAAAAGCTGGATTTATGGAGGCTTTCCCATCCCGATAAATAATGGACAGGACAAACTATTTGAGTACAAAATCCCAGCTCTACCCAAGTATTTTTTATTAGTTTTGTTTGAAGATTCTTAATCTTTTAACCTTATTGGGATCAAATGTAGAATCAAGTTTTCAGAAAAGTTCAGAAAAACTTTGGTAATGACCATATTATTTCTAAAGTTTATAATGTAAATGAGTTGATACTAATGTAATTATAACAGAGGAGTATCTAAAACTTATTGTACACCATCCAAAGTCACTCTCTGAGGGAGATTAGCTGAGAAATAGGATAAATAAATAAATAAACAAACAAATAAACAAATAAAACAAATACATTATTGTTCCCTTTCTTTGTTCAGACATGTTTGTAATTCTAGCCTATATCAAAGAACATTTAAATTATATTAAAATTCACTACAGAATGAAGGAATTGCTTACATTAATCTTCGGTTTCTGTCCACAGATGCCTAGAAATAAAGCCATATTAGCTTCTTGTCTCACTTTACAAACATTGGGTCTAGACTGTGAGGTCTCCATTTTACAGATATATCAGCAGTGCAATATTGTCATTGTAGTGTTCCATTGCATGTACTTCAATAAACATGAAAGAGATACACTCCCCTTCCTCCTTCCTATGTATTTTATTAACTAAGAACATGGATGAATGAGTGGATAGGTCCATCCATCCATCCATCTCAACTGGCATTTTGGGATATTTGTTACAAGCAAATAAATAAATGCCTGGACACATATTAAATCCTTAAATACCAAAACCTCTATGCAGTACAAAACCATAACAGAATACTTAATATGCAAGGCAGAATTTTCCTCAGTTTTTGATTGTTAGTAACTAATGTTGAGTTTTACAAACATTTTATTTTAAAAATATTGATTCAGTGCACCAATTACCCACAAAGAAATACCAAGAGCTGGGAGAAGGGAAGAGTTATATAACTATCGTAATAATATTTTTTTTAAAAAATACAGAAAAGGTGATAAAAATGTACATTATATGTTATAGTATTGCAGGATTTAATCAGGATGGGTTAAGATTTATACTTTAAAAAACTTATTTTATTTTGTTCAGTTTTCATAGCTGTGAATTTCACTTTTATTAGAATGTACATGTACTGTATTGTCACATTCACATATGTGTGCACATGCTTTTTTTTCTCCTTGTTGATACTCAGGACCATGAATTGCAGTGGTGGGATTCAGCCAGTTCGCACCACTTCGGCAGAACCGGTAGCTATTTTTTTGTTGCCCAGGCCCAGAATGGACTTCCAGAAGGGACATCCACACAGAGAACTGGTTGTTCACATATTTGAATCCCACCACTGATGAATTGGGATTTTTCCAAAAAGGTACAGAAGCAAGGGGTCCTTGGTGCTCTCTGAACTTCATTGTTTTCTTGCAGATGTTTCATTACTCAAATTAAGTAACATCATCCGTGCTAGGCTAACACTGTTGGTGTTATTTAGTTTGGGTAATAAAAGTCTGCAAGAAAACAACCAAGCTCAAAGAGCACCAAGAACCCCCTTCATTTCAATCCTGAACTAATATTCTCCTTCATTAATAGAGAAGTAATACACTTTAAAGTCAATGCTCTAAAATGACAATTAGCGAGACAATAGAAAGGAAAACTATAAAACAGAAAAACAAACACATCAATGTAACATTCAAAAGCAAAAGCAACTATTCTAAAGAAGAAGCAGAAGTTATAAAAAAGCAGCAATATGAACAGATAGCATGAAAGGTATTTAGAAGGCCAGTGAATAAGGATTCCTTTCACATAAGGAGATATCACAGGAGGTTGGTCTGTAATTTTCAATATAGAATTGTAGATGCCACAGCTGTCTGCCCCAATCCTATCTCCCCTCTATTCTGAATACCAGCAAGGAAACAGCCACTGTTAAATGCTGAGGATTTATGTCGGACACAAGATCCCATGATAGGTTGAAATAAATATTGGGGAACTACGGCTATGAAATTGGATGAAGTTGTGATTTAAGCCTTAGGAAAGGGGAAGAAATAAAAAGAACCAACTACATGAAACATGAAAATATGTTCACAGAAGCAGCAAAAAGACACTAACAATATCCTTCATGGTAGTCACTTTGTGGAAATGGCCAGAATGGTTGTTTTTCCCCCCCAAAAAACCTCTAATTTATGCCCAGAGGTCAAAAAAAAGATTACAAACTTGTCTGTTATTTTGAGGTTAAACTGGGATGCAGAGCACAATTATCAATCATCATTATCAATCAAAACATGATGAACACGACATCCAAAATTCTGAAATAAATTGTATCTGCTTCTTACAAACACTGTCAGTGAAAATTGAGGCAACGTGATGTAAGAACCATCCACCAAGCCAGAAAGCATTTCTAGAATACGTTAGCCCACTCTCCCTTTCCCTCGCCCTCCTCAGAGCCCCCTTGCAGGGACACTGATATGAACAAAGTGAACTGGGAATATTCTTCATGCTTCAAAGGCTTTGTAATTCAGCATAGTGAGTATGTGTTTGCAACAGACAGCACAATTCTTTGGTGTGCAAGAAAGGCAGTCCCATGCACAGGCAGCTGGAAGTCCCTTCGACCCCTGATGACACAATTCAAAGCATCTTCTGTTTGGCTTTTTGATTTCTGATTGACATATTCACTGCTGGCTGGAGATAAATGCCATTGGAAGCACAATGTTGATCCGCTCCAACTATTCTGATGAAGGACTTTCTTCTTTTTTGAATAATAAACAAAACAAAAATGGTGTGCTTAAGTGTCTGAATAGCGCTCAAAACAGAAAAGTAGCCTAGTGGCTTTAAAGAGGCTGGCAAGTCACTTGAAGAGTTAATTGTCTGGGTGTACAATGAGTTTATTCTGACCGCAGACAAAGCACTCTCTCTCTCTCTCTCTGATAGAAATTCTTTAAAAGGGATATGTCAAAAGAACCAATAGCTGCTGTTTTTCTTCTTACAAATGGCATCCTTTGGGCATTGCTTTGAAAATCTTGACTCCTAAAATCCTAGCTACAAGTGACATGGCATTGAAGTTCAATTGCCAAGCTTTACATATGGCTTTAGATCAGGGGTCCCCAACCCCCAGTCCATGGACCGGTACCGGGCCACGGCATGCCAGCAACCGGTCTGCACAAACAAGCAAAGCCCCATCCGTGGGATGCAGGCAGCAGACAAAACCACGCCCCCTCCGGTCTGTGGAAAAACCTTTCTCCACGGAATCGGTCCCTAAAAGGTTGGGGGGCCTTTGCTTTAGACCATGCAGGAATTCGGCTAACAGTGTGATTAAAAATGATAATCGCATCTGACAGCCATACTGATCATGCATAGATATTGAAGGAAATTATTAGTATTTATTCCCAAATTACATAGGAATTATGTACAGATAGTCCTCAACTTACACCCATTCGTTTAATGATCATTCAAAGTTACAATACTGAAAAAAGTGACCTCTGACCTGTTCCCACACTTCTGACTCTTGCAGCATCCCCACAGTCGCATGATCAAACTTTGGGCACTTGCAACCGGTATATATTTAGGATGCTCGCAACATCCTGGAATTGCCACTTGCAATCTTCTCAGGGAGCTTCTGACAAGCAAAGTCGATGGGGAAAGCCAGGTTTGCTTAACAACCTCACAATTCTCTTAATAACTATACTGATTCTCTTAGCAACCATGGCAAAAAAGCTTCCAAAATGGGGAACAACTCACTTAACAACTGCCTTGGGGCTCAGTTGTGGTTGTAAGTCAAGGACTACCTGTATCCAATTAACAGTTACAGAGATACTGTATGAAATCTACTGTAAAGCTTATAATAGCACAGGTTGTGTGTGTAACATTCCTTAGTCCTCTGGCTTTTTTACATTATGCTCTCCATTTGCTAATGTGCTTCTATTAAAGTCTGCTCCATGTGAGACAAAGAATGAGTGAACCAATCGGTTATTTCTTTCAGTTTCCCATTTCTGTAAGCCAGTCTGTGTCAATTATCCAAATTCTTTATTTTCTCATTTGTACAGCGAGGCATTCCATCCCATTTAGCAATTTGAGATTTGAAACAAAGTTTCATACCAGCATTTGGAGCATTTTTCTCCAAATATATGCAATTTTATTTGCAATTTTGTTAAAGCTGCAAACAAATTTAATGCCTTTTGCACTGTTTCGTGCACTTATGCATTCTTTACATATTTTCCTCGTAAAACGTGTTTTTGTTTTTGTTTTAGGTTTGCAAAGTACATTACAAAACGTGGACTATTTGCATATGTTAAGAATGAATGAATACATCCCTATGTGTTCTGGCCTTTCTGAACAAAAAAGATATATTGGCAGTTAGAGCTAGATGTCTTTTGGTTTCTAGAGGCAAATACAATAGGCATAATTTTGCATAGTTTCTCTCTCTCCCTCCCCCCCAACCCCATCCCCAAGCGGGGGACATGATAGCAGTGTTCCAATATCTCAGGGGCTGCTACAAAGAAGAGGGA